GAGGTCACAGGGTCAGCGTGTGCTTCCTGACCTGTCTCCTGTCCACTGTGTGAGGTCACAGGGTCAGCGTGTGCTTCCTGTCCTGTCTCCTGTCCGCTGTGTGAGGTCACAGGGTCAGCGTGTGCTTCCTGTCCTGTCTCCTGTCCACTGTGGGAGGCCGCAGGCTCGGGGAGCTGCTTCCTGTCCTGTCTCCTGTCCGTTCTGGTCCTCAGCCCTGGCCCGGGGCTCCGAGCCTGAGGCCTTGCTGTGGCTCCGTGCAGAGGGCAGCTCTGGGTCAGCCAGGAGCGTTGGCGGGTTGGGGCCCATGTTCTGTCTGTGTTCAGTCATGACTGCCAGAGCCCACCGTGGTCACAGAAGCTCTGTTGATGACTGGTGGGATGACTCTCCTCTCAGGGGGTGTGGCAGTGGGGCCAGGCTCGCCGCCAGTACCAGGGCTGCTGCTGTTTCTGACGCGGCACTTAGCTTGTATGAGACGGGATTTTAGAACAGCATGGTGCCGCACGCCTGTCCTCTCAGCCCTGGGAGGCGGGGCGTCAGGGCTGAGGCTGCACAGAGACCCTGTCTCAAAAAATACTTAATTATAAATACATGCTCCCTTACAAAGTCAGAGATCAAAACTCACACGAAAAGTACCACAGCTCTACCTTCCAGAGACAACTAGCGTTGCTGATTATTTTTCTCTACTGCGTGTGCGTGTTTCCTTCTCTTCCTTGTTTTTATAAAACAGGGCATGAAGCCGGGCGCTGGTGGCTCACGCCTGTCATCCTAGCTATTCAGGAGGCTGAGATTTGAGGATCACAATTCAAAGCCAGCCTGGGCAGGAAAGTCCATGAGACTCATCTCCACTAAACCACCAGAAAACAGGAAGTGGCGCTGTGGCTCAAACGGTAGAGCGTTACCCTTGAGCTGAAGAGCTCAGGGACAGCGCCCAGGCCCAGAGTTCAAGCCCCACAACCAACCAAAAACATAAAACAGGGCATCATAAATGTACTTGTGCTCATTTTATAACACCAAATCTCACGTTGTCAAAGAGCCTCTCGAATACAACTTTGAATAATTACTGTATCATATGGATGATATCTACCATAATGTGCTTCATCAAAGCTAAGCTATCCCATGGATATGTGTGCGTCTATTATGTTAAAATTAACATTAGTATCTTTTCAAGTGTTTGCTTACAGGGGATGGAGGCCTTAACACAGAACGCTAATAGCACTCTTGTTTTATCGCTAAAGGCAAACAGAAAACTGGTCCTCTACCATCGCTATACGAATCGAGCGCTGGTGGCCCATCGGAACCTGTTCTTGAGGTACTGCAGGGAACAGCGAACGTCACAGGAGATGTGGGTGTGAATGTGGGCGAGGTTCCATTAGAGACTGCGTGTGCGCGTGTGTGCACTCATGTGCGCACACATGCATGCGCACGCACACACACCTGCACGCACACATGCGCGCGCACCTGCATGTGCGCACGCAGGCACGCACTCACGCACACACATCCTTGGAGGTTGAAGGGTCTGTGGAAGCCAGCCTCATGGGTGCTCTTAAGAGGGAACTAAAACTCAGTGAGACCACTCAGTTCCTCTCCTGCTCTAGGACCTACTTTGGAAAAGAAGTTGAGGTTGCAGCTCACACGTATCTGGATTCACAGAGAGTGGAAAAGCCAAAGAACGTATGGCTTTTAGTGACTGCGAGCCCCAGGGATGACGAGGCCACCATGCTGGACGTGGCCAAGCCCAGGGCCGAGGACACCCGTGCTGTGGAGCAGGCCATGGGCCTTGGCCCGCAGTGACGTGCGCCCCCCGCAGTCGTGTTCTTTCTGACCTTGCTCTCGCCAAATACAGCTTCCAACCCGAGACCTGGTCATGCCTCGCCGTGTCTATGTGCAGAGGCACAGGATGTGCTGGTGGTGGGGTTGAGGCTGTGTTGGCAGTGCTGTTAGCAGTGAGCATGCACTGCTCACACCAGGTACCTGGTAGGCCCAGGGAACCAAGGAGGGAGCAGGCCTGTGCCAGGGGAAGAGGCGCAGGAGGCCACGGCACACTCCACACCGTCGCCACGGGGAGCAGGGCAGGGAGCTCAGGGAGCAGGCCTGTGCCGGGGGAAGAGGCGCAGGAGGCCACGGCACACTCCACACCGCCGCCACGGGGAGACGCAGGGCAGGGAGCTCAGGGAGCAGGCCTGTGCCGGGGGAAGAGGCGCAGGAGGCCACGGCACACTCCACACCGTCGCCACGGGGAGCAGGGCAGGGAGCTCAGGGAGCAGGTCTGTGCCGGGGGAAGAGGCGCAGGAGGCCAACGGCACACTCCAGGCCGCTGCCACGGGGAGACGCAGGGCGCTCGGGTGAGAGAGGCCAGGGCCGGGCTGGAAAATGCTCGTCCACACTTAGCCCAGCACAGAGCCGGAGCAGGGGAAGGAAGGCTGGCCTGGGGAGGAGTGGGGACGGGTGAGTGGAGGGTTCCAGTGGGGCGTGGGGACAGCAGGGCTGGACACACACGTGCGTGTGCGTGTGCGTGTGTGTGAACAGAAGACCGTGCGTATTCCACTGGCAAAGTCAGCGTTTCCTGATGCTAGCCGGAGCAGGCGCTTTCCTCTTTCCTCTCCATTTGTTCTTTCCTCCTCTTCTCCCCTCGCCTCTCTTCCTTTCCCTCTTTTCTTTCTGGAACAGGTCCTCACTGTGGAAAGAAGGCAGAAGACTGGAACCGGCAGTTACGAAAGGAGTAACTCAGTCTCCAAGAAGCATTCCAAAACACATTCAAACAAAGACAGTGACTGACGGGCCTCCCTGGCTCCTCCCCGCAGAGGACCCAGGCCCTCGCCCTGGTGGGAAAGGGCAGAGCTAAGCCTGGGGACAGTCCACCAGGCAGAGAGGAAGCCAGGACTTTCTCCCGACCATGTGGTTCCCCAAATGGCCACAAGAGGGCGGCGCCTAAGCCCAGCATGGAATGCTCAGTGGCTGCCTTACCTCGGTTCCCAAAAGGGACATTTGTGGAGGGAGGAGTCACCGGCACCTGGCTCTGAGGTCGGTTCAGTTTTTCTTCATGAAAGAAGCAGTGTGTGGCGCATGGAAGAGCAGCTTTGCCAGGTGCCGTGGCTCACGCCTGGCATCGCAGCTCCTCACTCAGGAGACTGAGTTCTGAGGGGTCAGTCTGAAGCCAGCCTGGGCACGAGAGCCCATGAGACTCTCATCTCCAATTAACCATCCAAAAGCCAGAAGGGTGCTATGGCTCAAGTGGTAGAGCGCTAGCTTTGAGCAAAAAAAGCTCAGGGTCAGGGACCAAAGCCCCAGGATCTATACAAAAGAAAAGAGAGGAAAGGAGGGGGGGAAGGAGGGGGGGGGAAGGAGCGGGGGGGGGAGGGGCTGTTTTAACTGGCATTCAGAGTATGGGTAGCCAGGGGGTTCAGTTTGGGGTTTTTACGGACATTCCTTCTGGTGTCTGGAAATAGTGCCCACCACCAGGAGTCGGAGAAGCGACACCAGAGTCCTGTGCGTGGACACGCTGTGGCCGAGGCCGTGGTCCTCACCAGCCCCAGGTCTCTGCCGGCCCCGCTTTCTCCCAGAGCGGTCTAGAAGATGAAGTGAACTGAGCCCGGTGCGGCACGGATGGGAGGGGAGGTCACAGGTCTGGGCTCCAGCGCAGCATCAGACAGCTCAGCACGGATGCCTGGCTTCCCGGACACGCCATGCGCGGATCCGTGGCACGAGGAATGCCCACGAGCTGCCTGCCTGCCTCCCAGCAGAGGCCCGGCGCTGGCCCTGGCGCCGGCCCGTCCTGCGGTCCTCCGCCCTGTATCGCCTCTGCACTGTGTTATGGTTGGCTGGTGGGGGCCTGACGGAGCCTCTGCCAGACATCTGCTCCTGCTCCTGTGTGAACTCCGGGCGGCAGGAAGTGCCCCGCCCTGTCCCACACCGCCAGGCCCCGAGGTGCCACACCAGGACGCTGCTTGGAGGCCGGGAGGGGGCCCGAGCTGTGCTCAGTTCCTTCTCTCCCTTTGTGGGTCGACGTGACTCAAAAGAGACCTCTATGGCCAGTGCTCTGGGCTAGCGACATGTGGAGAGCGGCCAGAGGAAAGAAGGAAAGTCAGAGGCCCCTGGACACAGGCGGAGGAGAGCGGCCATTACCTCCAGATGGGTAGAGGAAGGAGACAGGGCAAGAGCGGCAGCTTGAGAGGAGTCCACGTGACCAGGAGAGACTCCATGAACAGCGTGGTGACAAACATCCCTGTGACTCCCAAAGAGCCGGGCCCACATCTCTGCTGTCCCCACAGGGACACATTGGAGGGGACCCCCCAAACTCCCTGGAGACCCCATTGGACAGAAAGACCAGGCCAAAGGGAGGAGATGCAAGTCCTCCATCTTGGCTGGCAGACAGAGAACCGAGGTTCCCCCTGTCCCCCAAGGCCTCGGCACTGCCCAGGAGCTGTGTGCTGCTGAAAATCCATCCTTGGGACATTGCAAGCAAAAGTTACCAGCAGAGATATCTGTGTCCCTCCATTGACCTAAATGTCCAGCGGTGACGATTATTCAGATAAAGGAGAGAGCATTTCCACCTGGGGCCTGGGTCCCTGGGCGCTGGCAGAGCCCTCCCCCGGCGGACCGCGCAGCCCGCGGACGAGGCTGGGAAAGTGTTTCTTCTCTTGCTTTCCTTGGCAGCTCCTGACTTCTGGCGGCAGAGACTCTTCAGATGGTCTCCGGGACACCAAGCTGCCACAGCCAGGCACTCATTTATGTAACGTGCAAGTGAATCACCAACACGTGGGTCCTATTTCTGCCCAAATAGGCGGGGACTGCAGATGGCAGGAAGGGGCTGCGCCGTACAGAGAAGCCAGCCCCACCACGGAAGGTGCCGAGCCCGTCTGTCGGCACCCTAGCAACCAGAGCCACTCAGTCTGACAGGAGATGGAAAGCCGGTTCTGACTCCAAGAGGTGGGAGGCCACATGGGTTTGCCAGAGGTTCTCCAGGTTTATTTGTCTTGTCCCACGGCCAGCCAGGCCTACGCGGCATGTAGAACGAAGCCTCACTTTCCCTGGGCTGCTGTACTGGAACCTTCTCCCACCTTTCTTGAGACTCTCCTCCGCTGGGTGGTGTGAATCTCCTCCCTGGCGCTCCTGGCCACACCCCAGGTCTTCACCCAGCCCCGGGTCCTGTCCCGGGGCTTCGCCTCTTCTGTGTCCCACGGGGCCGTCAGCCGGGTGACCAAGCGACCTCGTCCTGCTCCTCACTGTCCAGCAGTCCGCATCCGGCGGGCCTCACCCCGTCCGCTCAGGCCACAGCAGCGGCCAGTATCAGTTGTTCTGCTGCTGATTGCCAGACCCAGGGTCAGTGATGAACAAGACCCAGGGCTGGCGTTCAGTGTGCTCACAACCTGTGGAGAAGATGGACGCAAGAACAATAAGAAACACACCTGGGCAATCCACAGAGCACCCCCGGCAGTGGACAGGGCGGCCTCCCCTTGGGTCGGGGTGGACAGCCTCCAGGGAGGGCTCCCTGTGTCCAGCACGTGTCCCGAGGCTGGCCCGGCTCCTCTTGTGCTCCGGCGTCCCCGCTCTGCCCTTTGGGTCCCAGGCTGCGGTCTGAGCTTTGGGACTGCCCTGGGCCTCTGTGAGCACAGCGGCCGGCCCTGCGGCAGCCGCGTGGTCTGGCCGGCCTCCCAGGGGAGGCCTGACCCCGGAACCCCCCGGCCTCTCTGGCTGGCTTCCATCCAGGCGCGAGCAGTGCCCCAGGGAGGCGGGAGGCGCGTGGCCAGCCTCTGTCCCCGGGCCTTGCATTCTGTGCAGCCTCTGTCTCCACATGCCGGCCCAGCTGCCGCCTCCCCAGCTGCTCGTGGCCAGCTCTCTACCGGGAAGATCCAGATGCAAACTGCCCAGCAGTGGGCGAAACCTTTCTACCCACACAAGGCAGGAGACGGGTGTTTTGCTCAGGGCCCATTCTGGCCTTTTGTGAGCATTCTGGGCCTCATGGCTTTCTCTGGTCCCACCGGGAGCCTTTGGGGTCCCAGGGCCTCGTGGGCTTCACATCTTCGTTTTTGGACCATGCAGACGGTCTGACCAAACCTCCGAGGTCTTCAGTCAGTCCGAGGGCCACTGGTGTCATTCCTGTCCCCGACCCCCACCGAGCCCAGGAGGAAGAACCCACCTTCGTGACGCCCCACAACATGCCTGGGCTGCAGCCGGCCTTTGGAGGAGAGGCGGGGGGAGGGTGAAGCGGTGTACACAGGCTCATCCCTGGGGATATGGCGGGTATTGTCACTACCACCACCACAGTACCCGCACTACCAGCATCACCACCACCACCATCAGCACCAGCATCACCACCACCACCACCATCAGCACCACCACCACCACCAGCATCACCACCACCACCCTTGGCACCGTGACAATGCCACTGTCCACACCTCTGCCATCCCTGCTCATGACCTCGACTCCCACCGCCAGGCCCAGTCCAGCGGGAGCCACCAGGGCTGCCAGCAGCTAGGGCAGCCTGGAGGGGGTCAGGGTCAGGGTCAGCACACTCTGTCCCTAGGGCAGGGCCAGGCCGTGGTATGGGGGGAAGGCCAGAGGCCCTGTGGTCTGGGAGTCACCGGGGATGGTCCTCTAGGGGCTGGCCTTGAGCAGGGAAAAGGCTGGGAGACAGCCAGGCTGGGACCAGAGCAGTGGACGCCAGGGGAGAGCGGGCAGGAGCGGCCGCTGTGTGGTGGGGCACCCCTTCCGGAATGCTGCAGAGGGCAGAGGGCGGCAGGGAAGGACTGCGCCCCACAGCCACCCCCGATCCTCGCGGCAGCAACCCGACGCCTGGGGACAAGCCATCGCCATCCCGGGCTGCGCACGGTTAAACAAGTATGTTTG